GCATATATTAATAGTTTCGGCTTTACCCAGGCTAAACAATGTTATATATATATATGCATTTTCAACATTTTCATGAATGGAATGCACATATGCGAGCCCCCCAAAGCCCTTTTTAGAAAGGAATCTAGGAATAATTGGCCTTTAGGATGGGTAACGCCATTGTTCCTTGGATTCTATGTTCCTGGACGCCTCGCTATGGCCAGCCAGCGCAGCCTGCCCAAAGAAGTCTGTGATAAAATGTTCGTTAAGGCAAGACTTTGCTCGACTTGGCACTGAACCATATTGTTGCTTTCTCCTGTGACTACTGTGGTTGTGAAAAGGAATTGTCATGTCTTTGGTGGGTTGGCTGCTCGCAATTCACTTGGCTCCAACTTGTGCCTCTACATGCGGCTGTTAGGATCTGTTAGGTAGATTAAATATTGTTTTTGTACTTATATAGGAAATATCCATTGAGATCCCTTTTGATCCAAATGTTCCACTGAGGCCCGGTGCCACGAAGTGTTTATACGCACTTGTGGGGGCCACAGTCGAAGTGTGAGACGGACCTTTTGTAGAGGCAGCTCGTGAGATTTTTTATCGCCTTCCGGAATGCAGTTGGGCCTTGAAACAATTGCAGCTTGCTAGACCGAATGGAAACCGCAGCCGCACCGAACCCACTAGGCGTAATTGCATAAAGATCGCAGAACAGTCAAGACTCCAAAACAGTACCTTGGGGTGCAAACAGGTTTGGATGGTGATGGGGTGCAATAAACATTGCCACTTACCAGTTCGATTTGTTTCCAATGTGGCCTTCTGATACAGTTTGACCTTTCCTCTATTCTGGGTTTTGTTTTTGCACATTGGCCGAAGATGTTGATTCGAATCTATAGATGTGTACGGAAAATGTTTCCATGAAAAACATTCAATCTTAAAGAAAAAAGGAACTACCTCACAGGGTTCTTCTCACGGATGCAAAACCAGACCACAAGCTTGAATTTGCACACCTCGATTGCGAGATTTTTTTACCTTCCTTGAAGGTGACTGGGCGACATCAAAAGTTTTATTGCATCTCCACCTGGAGTGATGCGCGTTCGAAGCTCTACTTTTGTTTGCATTTTTTGGCAGGCACGAGTGCACTTGGCTGCTGGGGAGTACTCAGTGGATTCCGGCACGCTTGTTCACGGCAGCTATGATTGAGAGAAACAATCAAGATTTTACTGTAGATAATTTGCTCTCTGAGGTTGGAACCACATCAGACTGGCAAGACTAGCGCCTTCAGATGCATGTCAGCTCTATGCCTGCAAGCGCCAGGCATCATTGAAAGCTCTCTCCGAAGTGCTTGGTATGGTGAAGCGTTATCGGCGGAAGCAGAGGATGGAGGTCCAATGGCCGAATTGAGCCCGATACGCAGGGTCCAGTGGCAAGGCATGACACCACCCGTTGCAGGGTTTGCTTCTGACACCACCATCCAATCACCTTCGAACACCTCGTCCTTGCCAACCTGAGGCAAGTAGCCGCAAGTGCTTGCGCTCATAGATTCAATTCACAAAAGACACTACTCAAGTCTCACCGGCACCAGTCAAGTTTTTTGAGGCTTCTGTGCTGGAGCTGGTCGCCAAAGCGATGCTGGCCATGCCGACCACAGAGGTCCAGGTGCGTTTGACACGCCACTGGGGCCATGGAAGCGGTCGGGTTTTGAACCCGATGGGATGGACCCGAGCAATGGGAAGTTGTGGTGAACTCGACCAGGTGAATGGTGGATGGGGCCATGTTTGATGGCCACTGTAATGGGTTTGTACTATGACTATGCCTGTTTGAACCTGTTTGGATGACCTTTGGTTCTTCGCCTCTGCTCCTTCAGTTGCACTCCTTCAGTGTGCACTCCTTCAGTTGGCCCTTTGAGACTTGACGGGCCAGCAAGCGGTCTTCAGTGGTCTTCGGCAGCCATTTGTTGGCTTGCAGCTGAGTAGGACAACATGAAAAGCAGTTGGCATGGCAAATGCCACCTACATGTTCAAGCTGTGAAGGCCCTGTAGCAAAACGTAGATTTCTTTATCCAATCCACTACAGGAGTGCTGAACAGATCTTATCAGATCCAAGACTCGGATTCACCTGTGATCTTTGGAAATTGTAGCACCTGCTTATGGTCAGAAACATGTCCGGGTGACCCACTTTGATGAGCTTACTAGCTGCTAGCTCCTTTCCCGAGTGTTTGGACCACCAAAAGACGCCTGAAAAAGAGCGATCGTGGCCGGAGAAGGAAGCGCTTTGGTGATCGTGGCCATGGCCCCAACGAGGGTTCTCCCAAGCGATGGACGAAGAAGCGAAGGGGGCAAAGGCGACGGTCATGTCTTTGAAGATCTTTATTGAAGGTTCATTCTTTTTTGGCTTACGTTGTTTTATATTGGCTTATCCAGGATGCCGGAGAGGCGACACCTCAGGACTGGCTATGTTGGGTTCTGTTTCCTTGGGGCTTTTCAGCATGTGCGGAAGGCATTCAGAGTCCATTTTGCCAGGCTAAGAAAGGAAGCAAAGGGCCCCAGAAGGGCTCCGGGAAGGGCAAGGGCCCTTCGGGTCCTAGCACAAAAGGCAAATCCAAAGGGAAAGAGGCCAGCCTGGAGCTCTTTTGTGTGAGTCATGTGCTGGCTTTGAGGAAGTAGAGAATTGTTGTTGGTACTAGTATATAGCTTCTTGTTACTAGTAGCCATGCCCTCCAACCTACTTGCGATGGGCCTCCACCTAATAGCGTCCTAATACTCCTTTGTGCCTTTTTCTTTGGTTCCTTTTCTTTCAGACGCGAAATCAGCGCTGCTGCCCGGCACGACATCGTCTTCAGGCCCCGAGCGTCCCTTCTTGGCAGAAGCCAGAGATATCTTCAGAATGGCCGCTGAACTTGACAACGTTTTCAAAACAACAACTAAACGTCAAAACGTTTTAGTTTGCTTGAACATGTCTAGTAAACTTGAACATGTTCCATATTGTTCCACTAAAGATTCCTTCAGAGATATTCAAAGTCATGTTCCGAGGCAGGTAGAACGTGCATGATCCTCAGCAGCCTTAGACTTCGAAGATTGCACAACGATGTCGAATCGAATCGAATCGCCTTACTGTCCTCCTGATTGGCTTAGATGGTCAATTGGCAGCCCATTCGTCAAACGAGTCGCCTGGAAGGGTCGGTGCTGGCCCCTAGAGACGGGTCGAAGGAGTGTGGTGGGGCCGTTGAGGCAGGCTCAAGTATATATGACAGTGACCAAGGGTCAATGAGTGGGCATGTCAAAATGCAATACGATGACACGCTATAACTATAACTATAACTATACTCACTGCTTCGAGGCTTGGCAGGTTCACATCATATGTATAATACTATATGCTCTGGGAGTTGGAAGGCACGGCGTGACCACTTTGCTGAAGGTTTGGCAACAAGTTCATGATTCCTTGGATGGAGGAGTCAGTTGCTCAGCAGTTTGATACCAGAATCCAGAATGACAAATACAACAAACAAAGCAACGTTGAAAACTGCTGAAATGTGTGTCCATGTGTGTCCACTTCTACGAATTTCTGCGAACTCACCACGAGAGGAGGCAGAGAATCTGAGGCCGCGAAGCTGCCGGAGGAAATCTTGGGACGCTTCATGCGCAAAGTCTCGGAGGCGTGACCTTCCCAGACCCTTGGCAAGCCGCCTCAGGTCATGTTCGTTGGCGCTTTTTTGGCAGGTGCCACAAAAGAGGGCGAGTGATGTTGGTCAGCCGGGCCCCCTGTGCTTGGCATACGGCATACCTTGAAACTTTCACACTTTGTGTACTAGTCACGGCTAGTCCCACTGGGCAACAAGCCCAGGAAGAAGACAACGACCAAACGGCTGCTGTCAGCGAAGCAAGCATTGGCTCGGCTCTCAGTGTGTTGATTCCGAGTGCCGCCACTACTTGGTACTGGTAGTGCACATAGCCTACATCATGCTGCTCGCCTCGATCGAGCCGATTCTTGTGTTGTGGGAATACTCCACGCGACAGGGTTAGATTCTCGGCCCTGGCGAGGTGGCTGACATTCACCATGCTTTGCTCACAAGGAAGGCACAGGATACACATGCTTTATGTAAGGCACAAGAAAAGGTGTTTGTGTTTATGTTTCTTTCGTGCAATCCGCTTTTTAACTTGTTTCCCTCACACTGGTGTTTGTTGATGTACTTGTTTTTGTGAATCCCCCTTGCTCTAAGCTTTTGCACAACTGTTCATGTGCCACCACATTGTCGATACGGCATGTTATCTTGGTGTGTGCAGGGCATTCGCACAGTGAATGACCTTACGTGGATTCTTGGACCAGTCAAGGTGCAACAACGGCGCTGTGATCAACAGCGTAACGAAGCATTAAGAAAGAAAACTACCATGCTAGCCTGTAGCTCGCCATAGCCTCTGGCTAAACTCATGGAGAGAGAGAGAGAGAGATGCGTCTTCGCTCAGCCAAGCGTCTTCACAGCGTCTTGCAGGACGAATGCAGTGAGGATGCACTCTCGGAGGAGACAGCAATTGGTTTGGCCACCATCCATCTCAGTCGGTCAATGGATAAGTTCGAGGATGTTGTTTATCCCCACCATTAGTGCTACGCATATAATTGTTTCCGGGTAAATGGTGTCAGATAAGCTTTCGTGTGAATCCTGGAACTGTAGCAACAATATGCAACAATGGGCAACATGCGTCCTGCATCGTCCTGCATGAGGATGACTTTTGGATCGAGTTGCTGGATTCAGTTACATGAATCATGGTCCCAAGTTGAATTCTGCAACTTTTTGGCATAGCCCAACTTATTTTCCAGGTGTTCTCTCACAAAGTTGTGATTCAAAGTCCAACACAGTGAGGCAAGTTGTCTCGCATCTACTCTCACTTTCGGCAAATCTCGGCCTGACGATTAGCGAGAGATAGAGAGAGAGAGAGATACTCTAACCGCTTCCGAAGCTAATAGCGATGGCCTCCAACCTAATAATTAGTATGTCCCACGATGTCCTATACGATTATATAAATTTGAAGATGGTCAATGCTCGCTCTGGCCATGTGCGCCGCGCCATGTGCTTTTGGTGCTTGGGCACCGCCTACCTGACACTCTCAAGTAGGGCTGATGCTTTTGGTGGCACATTTGCTTCTCACCTTGTTGAGCAGAGAAGTTTCTTTGGGTTTCTGGTGTTCCCACGGAAACACAGACAAGAGGAGGTTACATCCCAAATGGTATATACTCGTGTACCTTAAACGCTGCCAGTTGTCGCCCCATCGACTTCCACGTCGACTTTCCTACCTAGGCTTTCAACCCCACTCCGCGATCGACAGCCTTGGATGGTACCTTGCGACAGCATTTTTGCCGCTCGAGAAGGGCATCCAGCATCAGGTCTGCCGAGCCCCTCAATCTCAAGGGCAGCGGGTCAAAACGGGACAATGTCCTACCACCTAACGTGTGTTTTCAAGCAGTTTCTGTGTTGGTGTTTGAAGCCCGGAGGCGGTCACTGTGCTCACGGAACACAAAGCTGATCACCTGCCACCTAATAACGAGCCAGGGCCTCCCAGGGCCTCCATTCCAAAGTAGCCTTGGAATTGGGGGGAACCCTGATGATCCCTAAACCGACCGATGTCTCAAGTCGCGTCGCTGTGCCAAGGAGCTACCAAAAGCCAAATCCCACACCGCTTTGGACCTTGAAAGTCACCCAACTGCTGTTGTTTTCAGCGAATGTTTGCTTGGTCCGCTTCATCACCGTCTACTACCATGTGCCGACCTCGGCTGTTTGACGGAACCAGTGCACTGCTGTCGTCTATGATTGATGTTGTAAATGATCAATCCCGCAGTAGGGAAACTGGCCCACGACCCTGATTAACAAACCTCCTTGTCTATATGGGAGTCGTTCTAAAATCCGTGTAATGTTTTTAGTGGACGAGTGACATTCTAGCTTTTTGAAGTTATGTTTACCTGCAGGGGCGAAAGGATGCGAGAGCGCGGCGAAAGGTTTGGCGAAAGGCTAAACTTGATAGAAATATATCATGGATAATTCATACATGTATGCACATGTTGTGCATATATCTTTGTGTCTAAAACAAACAGAGATAGTGGTTTCCATGCAAGGCGTGATAGGCAGAAAGCTGCAAGAGTAGTGGCTCAGCATGTAATATCCCCAAGGATATGTATCACCAGCTTAGTGAACACCCCAGCATGTCATAGATGCGTACGAAAAGAAACAGACAGCAATAAGAAATCTTGCAGACGGATCACAAGAGAAGATTCAAGTAGCAAAATTCCCCAAACCGAACGAGGAAAAACGCGAAAGCTTCGCGAAAGCGACGCGCAAGGTTGGCGAAAGACGAGCCTGCCCGAAACCATCGGGAGCCCAAATGGGCTAGTCCAGAGTCCATGCCATGTCGCATCTTGCTTTTCTTTTCCAGGAATGGATGAACAACAACTGTCCCGAAGCCAAGCGCCCCAACCGCAACACCACCTTGCCCAATGCAAGTGCCACACCTCATCAGTGACAGGGAAAAAACTGCAAGAAGTCATGAGAAACAATTACTTCGAAGACGGAGTCGATGGCAAGAAAAGAAACAAGCTGCAACGAAAGATGTCTGAACGCCCATGAAGGAGAAAAGATCTACCGAGCGCCCTTGGAATAACGGGAACCAAAAACCAAAGTTATCCAGAATCCACAATCCACACTCCCCAAAGTAGTAAGTAGCAGCGGCACATTTATTGTTGCATATACGATGGATGAACTTTTGTGGCTCTACTCAGATCCTCCACCTCATATATCCTAATACATTTTACATTGGGGGCGAAAGGATGCGAAAGATCCGCGAAAGCGCGGCGAAAGAACAATTTTTGGGAACCATAATTTTGAACAACCCCCATATAATATGGTGTTTCTTTACGCCATGCCCAGTCTTGGATTTTCATTCGGTGATGTTTGACATTGCAAAGTCCATTTGCTCCAATTTGCCGTCCATGAGGAGTTGGGTTTCAGCCGCAAACTCATGGGCCTTTTGCAGTTTCTGATGCCGATGATGTCCTTTGTGGGTGGCCTCTTTTGGTCTGTGATTGTAGACCGGACTGGCTCCTATAGAGGCACCCTCACCAGCACCAGCCTTCTTGGAGTTGTGGCAGTCTTTGGATATTTGTTACCACAAATTGGACACAACTTACCGTTGCTTCTGGTGATTACCTTGCTACATGGGTTCCTTGGCTTTGCGAACAGGCGACCGAATCGAACAGATGAGACGTGGTGGGCTCCAAATAGGCCCTAAATGGGCTGTACAAATCAGAGAGAGAGAGAGAACCTTGATGTTATTGATGTTTATATAGACCCCAAATAGAATCAAATAGATAATAGGAAAGTAGATCCCCGCAAAAAAATGTCTTGGACAAACCGTGCCACTATCTATTAGATATACACCCGTGTTATACACCGATGTTTTCGAGGGATGATTAGAGAGGAAATGTTTTGCTTCAGCGTGGACAGCACCATTTGGCCCAGGTTTTTGACAGCACCGTCTGGCCCTATCGTCGACGGCCTTTGCTTAAAGGTCCTGTCCGAACAAACAGCTGCCAAGAAGGAGCTTAAGATGAGCGACGTAGCGAACAAACCAGGCTGCTGGAATTGCCGGAATTCCAAGCTGTTTTTTGATTGTTTTTTGGGACTAATCTCATTATTATTCAACAAATTGAAGGGCCACATGCAGATAACTGTGGACATGCAGGCTTAATATATATATATATATATACGGTATATAATATTGATTTTATCAGCCTCGTCCGCATGTCCAAAAGATACCTTGGACTTGCCACGACATCATGTTGATCGTTCGGCATCATGTGCGGATGTTTACAGTAGAGACAAGCGCCGCGCGGCGCTGTCAGGAGGACTATGGAGATCAACGGTTGTGGAGTGCAATTGGCTTTGGCAGCATGGCGCTGGTGGCTGGAAAGCTGGTGGACTGGGGTTGGCGGGTTAGGACAAAGTTGGTGGATCAATGTCCGGCCAGCAACCTGATTTAGACACAATTGGCAGTGTACAAGTGTGCCGCTCGTTCGTTAGTCGAAAAATGCAAAGCCATCATAGGTGGTGGTTTCAGAATGTTTCAGATATTTCTATGTTGAACCTTTACTGAATATGATTGATCCCTTTGACTAGTATCTTATTTCAAGTTGGTTGAAACTCCCTTGAAACCTGTGAAACTGTTGAAACCACCAACCAGCAGCGAGCCGGCCGACTGATCGCCAGGACATCTATGGGACCAAGTGCATTTTCTTTTGCTACGCAGTCCTTGTGGGGCTAAACATTCTTGTAGTTCAGCTGTTTATCTATGACAGCCCATCCTCCAACCAGAAAGGTGCTCCTCCCCAGGCGAGACGGTGGGCGAGACGTTGCACCCCTTGTTGCCACGTCACGGGAATACGCCCCGTGACGTGCAGCTTGCGATCTTGCGGGGCATGTGATATCTTTGTTGCTGAATTCATCCACGTACGATTTCATTATGAACGTTTTATTTTGACTTTGTTTGAGGAACAAGTACTAAAGCAAGTATAAAAGACGTTCGGAACAGATTCATTTCATGGGGCAAACTTGCCAGGTGTCCTTCACACAGTGGCTCAAAACCCTGCTGAAGTTTGAGCCCTTGTGGATGTTGATCAACCTTCTGATCTATGGCATGTTGATTGCTCTCATTGAGAATTTCCTGAATGCCCCTCGCACCTTCAAGCAATTCCACGCATAGTTTTGCATAGACTCCATATGACCATGGGCCCAAACATGTTTGTTATCAACACGCGTTCAGGTCTTCATTGTGCAGGACTTCAAGAACGCGCCCAATGTAATTGTCGGTGCAGCAACTGCAGTGACTTTACTGAGGAGAAGCACAGTCACTGAAGTACGAATACGTGGAGTATATCCAAGACTTGAATCACACAAGTGACAAGACACACCTAATTGGGGTTCTTTGGGTTCATTCCTGTTCATTCCTATTGGTTAATTGTTGTATCATAAGCCAAGGTGTACGGCTAATGAGCAGCTGAGAAACAGGGGTCAGGGGAACAACTGTGTCTATGCGAAAAACTATGAAAAACTATTCGCGTTGAGCCACCAAGCTTGTCTTTCATGGAGCTGGGCACGGAGAGTTTGGCTCGAAACTGTTTGCCAAAGATGTCGCAAAAGGATGCACAGGTGCAAAAAGCCAAACAACTGCATGATGCCATCGAAAAGATGACCGAGGAGACTTGACACGGAAGCAAAAATACGTTTCCAGCAACTCTGCGGCTCGATATGCTGCATTTGGGATCGGGAAAAATCAGGTGCCCCTGACTGTTCTTGGGAGGGGGTAAACTAACGCACCCCATGAGTGTCCTTCTAGATGTTCAGTTTGTTTAGCTGAGTCCTGAGTGTCCTTTGCCCAGGACACTGAACGGTTGGAAGCAGAGGTGAAGCAATTGACCGAGGACGCTGAGTGGGTTAGGTCTTGCATGGTTGGACGCTCAAAGAGAAGGGCTGTAAAGCACCAGTTGGGCGTTGTGTTTTTTTTCAAGAGGACATGGTACTGTATCATGTTTCGAGTGGCAAGCCTTCCAACAACCTGAGTTTCGAGTTACAACCTGAATGTTTTTTGACTGAGATGCGTCCATCATTGCAGAGTAGTATTTTTTTTCCAGGAAAAGGTGGTCGTGGAAAGAGACCTTGCAAGCCGGCTGCAACGAATAAAGGAGATTGAGTCTGGAATGCCTCAAAAGGCCTGGACTTGATCGTGTTGACGGAAGAAAACCTTCGTTCAAACGTCCGGAGGTGCAACAGCTGCAACAGCTACAGCAGCTGGAGCAACAGAAAGAAGCCGAGTACATGAAGATGTTGGAGGACTTCAGTATGTGCTACAGTTGCGTCACAGTTGGTTCACCACAAATCCAACATGCTGCTAAATCTACATGTGACACGTGTGACATGGTGTATGTCGAAAGTGTTCAAGCTGGATCACTTTGTGGCCCCAGGCCACTCCTACCTTGGTGCAAGTCCTGAAGAAGTGAACCTGGCACCCACAGCTCGGCTGCTCCGAGCATTTCACGCTTTCACCCGTTTCAACTCCGAAGCAGGCATTGTTCGCGCGGTTGTTGGAAAGGTGGCACAGTGCTCAGGAGCAAGGTGTCTCATGCATTCCTTTTCAGTCCACTTATATATTCCAGGTGTGTGTGTGTCAAAAAGGTGCGCCTGTAGTTGCAGTTGCTCATGCAGAGTTCTATACAGTCATGTAGGGATGGAGAGGCCTCAACATTTACGGCCAACTTCAGTTTCACAACATGCAGGGAGGGTTCATACAAAAAAAATGTGAAAAGACCATATGCTTGCACATGTACTTGGTGTAAGGTGATGTGTGTCTTCGAGATCCCTGTGTTCAAGTACATCGACAACTTGTGGACCAAGCGTGGCTATAGCTTGGTGACAGTGCTGTGGTTTGCAGAGCTGGTCGCAAAGCCGGCACTTATACACGTTTTTTCAGGTTTCTTAAGTCTGGTGGTGTGACTCATTCTTTGCTCATTTGTATGCCCATGTTCTTTCACACATCGAGCCTCAGTACATCTTAACACTGATTTTGGGCGTGCAAGGGTATTATATATCTCACTAGTACGGGCAAAGACCCATTTACAAGGGTTTCTAAGGCATGATATGCTATCAGTTTCTGAAAAAAGTTTGGACCTATATGCAGGATCTCAAACCCAGCTTGACACTGATTGGTTCGTGCTCATTGTGGTGGGTCCATGAGGGGAACTGCTTGTGCATGGGGAATGCGTGAAGAAACATCAACGATGTTTGAATGCTATTGCTATGGCTGGCTTATGGCCATTGCAGCAACTAGAAGTAGAAATGTACCCCCAAGCATGCCCTCAGCCTCAATCCCAATTCTTTGCTTAGTGTTTCTTGGTCTCCTATCGCATGGCTGTGCGTGCTGAGGTCATGGCTTTGCGTTGCTTCCTCTATGCCATTTTGCCACGACATCAGTGCCTTGTCACTTAATGTAGTGTCCAGTGTCTCTCGTTGCTTTCCCTAGCCTTGGCTCACTAAATTCTACCATGGTCACGATTTTGTTCTTTTCATGTTTGTTGATGGTTGAAAGTACCTTGTTTTTACTTATAAGTGGACTTTGCTGACGTCGTCGACCAGCTCGTACAGCAATACTTGTGAGTGCCTTCACTGCTTTGTCAAACCCGAGGCCATGGCTGGTGCTGTTTGTTGAGCCACTCCACGGTTTCACCTTCGCAGCAGTCTGGTGTGCCACTGTCACCTATGCAAACCGTTTAGCATTACCTGGAACAGAGGCGAAGATGCAAGCGCTCATCAACGGCCCCAGGGAAGCACATAATTGTATATTGCATTGTTTGCCACAGATGATGAGAACAGAAGATGTAAAGGGAAGGCAGGATGCCACCTTGGATATATGAAGACTCTCTTCTCACCTGCTTAGTCAATTCATGTTCGTTTATTTGCATGTTTAATATATAAATTCAAAAGTTGAGTTGAGCCTTCGTCAGAAGCCGTAAGTCATGCAATAGCAGGTTGGGCAGTCACAGAGAACAATCAGCAGACAGTTTGGGCCACATGTGCCCTCAAATTGGCCATCCTGTGCTTTTGATTAGATTTTCTTCGACTAACATGGAGATGGAATCGACCGATCTTGTAGAGGATCATGCTAGGCTACACTTCCATGCTGGGACGATAGAGCGATACATATTATGTCGCTGAGGCTTATATTTCAATGTGGCAGCTGCTTTGGGCTCATATTTTTGGGGCTGTGCATCGCAAAAGCCTCCAGCTGGCTTGGGCTTTACTAACTGTTTCATCTTGGACGCTTGGCTTCAAGTTCTACCCGAATCTCGGAGGGTGGTGAAGGTCAATGTTGGCAAGCACCTTAGACTCTTAGACTTTTCCGGTGAGTCAAAATCAAGACACCTTGAGCCTTTGATTACCAAGGACGGAGTGTTCACCATAGCGTGGTTGTTGATATGGGCCGTGGGGTATGCCATGAAATCAAGGATGCGGAAGTCAAGGACATACCCCTAGCGTTGGACCTCGCTTCCGGAAGCAAGGATTCCGTGACTTCCAAGTGAAGGTCGCAGATGGCCAGGATTGCTCCGCCTTCGTCACCCAAGCCTCGACGTGGTGTTGTCGTGGAAGTCGATCTCACGTGCCCAGCTGGTGGCATTTGGTGGCGGTTTGACCGACTACATGAGCTCCCGGAAGGTCGAAGCGCCTTCGGGAATGTCGTGGCAGAACCTCCGCTCCACAAAAGTGAGTGTGAGTCTAGCAGAGCATACTTGAGCTGCGCTTTTGCACTAGTGCGACTTGCTGAGATATTGATTCTGAGCTGATATAGCCAAGATTTGCTCGAGGCCCTGCAGGGCTTGCTTGGAGCAGCTGCTGGGGAGGAGACCTCTTCAGATTCATTTTGCATGTTTGTGCCGTTGGAATTGGGTGGGATTTGCTTTCACACGTGTGCATGTGGAAGATAATTGACTAATGCAGGAGCGAAGCCTGACAGCAGCGGGGCAAGCATTGAAGGCTCCGTTGTGGGATTGTTTGGGCTGCTGCTGTATGCACTCTATGCTTGGTATATATACATATGTTAAAAACAACAATATACATATTTGTTGGATTTGGGAGTGCATTTCCTCTCCACCATACAAGAGTCCTTGACTGCCAGACTGCTTGCTACTATTTCTTGAGAAAGAATATCCTTGCACTTTTTGACATCGAAATGCACAAGCAAGGTTGAATGACCTTTTTCTGAACAGCCTTTGTTCTTTGAACAATTAGAGCTGCGTTGCTCGTAGATCTAAGTCGCCTGACACCAACCCTTCGCGTCTCGTTCGGCTCCGGCGGCGCTTTCACCGAGGACGGGGCACCGTCGGAGTTGTTCCTCCGTCAGTTGCTGGAGCGTGAGCCATTGCAAGAGCTACAGATCCGCGTGCAGTTCGTCCCACCCAGAGACGACGGTGACCGGCGGGTCCGATCGGATCTGAAGAAAGAGCGGTCGCGAGTCCGGCAGAAACTCGCACTGATCATCTCGAAGTACAAAAAGATGTTTTCCTGTTGCAGACACATTGCTGGCCTTGTTTGGTATATTGGATTATGTTGGAACAGGGCCGGCCACATTCGTTGGTTTAGGATTGGAAGAGATCAGGTGGCTCACCACGTTGAACTAACTCCTCAACTTGGACGTTGCTGCTTCCTGCCAGCAAGGCTTAATCTGGACATGGCACACTTTGATCCTCGAGTCCGAGACTTGGAAAGCGGGCCTGGCCCTGAGTAGATGTCACAGGGCTGGACCTTTTGTTGGGCACACCGAGCATTTTTTATGTTCTTTGGTCTATGCTTCGATGCTTGTTCCCTTGGAGCTATGCTTGAAAACCTATTGGACCAAAAAAAAATCACAGAGAGCTGCAAGGCTGGACCTTGCTCTCACGGCAGCTTGGACAATCATCGATTCAAAAGCCATGCCAATCCTGTTGGAGGGCATTCTTCTACTAGGTGCGGGGGCAGTGAGTTGTTGACGCGTGTGATATGTGCATGGTGCCAGACTGTGGATGACCCAGTCTCATCATGCAACTGACAGGTAACTCCGTCAATGCAGCCTCCAAGAACTTGGGTGGAGCTGTCGGGGTCACTTTAGAATCCTTAACCAAGCTGGCACATACTCGGTGCTTGCCAGCCAAGCAGGCCAGGTTGTAGCACAGCACTTGGTGAATGCTTGACATTGGCTGAGAGTGCTTTGGCTTGGCTTATTGGCATTGGGTCTAGCTTTCTAGCTTTCTTTTGCATTTTGATCCGTTACCTGGGAGACCTTCCCGCCCCAGGCGGCTGGCAGCAAGCGGAAGTCTTCCCGTCCTGCACTCAGCCGGTGAAGCTGTTCGCTTCTCCGTGTCCAGGTGTTGCAGTTTTTTTTTCGTCACCGTTACTATCCGTTATTGTTTAATTAACATGTATTGCGCGGTCAAGCCTTCGTGAGGTAGATGACTATGAATAGTAGAAGTAGAAAGAGAGATGGTGTTCTTGGGGCCACTTGACCTGGGTGTCACACTTTAAGCATACTATATACATACGTTTGAACATGGCTCTCATCCAAGCACCGCGGCAGTGCAACACCTCAGGAGTGGAAGTGCATTGGAGGTTCTGGCATTACATTTGGATCAGGCATGCAACATGTGCTTATATGATGTATGCTTGACTGTGTGAATCAAAGAGGGCCATCACTCACGGTGAACACTTTGTTGTGTTTGGCAGCAGTCTAGCACATTAGTGAGGTATGTTGGATCAATCACCGTGCAAGCAGCAACTAGAAGAACAGATTTGACAGCTTGACTTAGGATTGTTGGAGTTGTTTGAGAATCGTGCTGGTATGCAGGAGAAAGACCAATTTGTAAAGGAACGATAAGGAACGGGGCCACTGGTCCAGATTGAAGAGCATGGTGCAGCCTTTCAGACTCAGAGTTGGAATGCAGCATCACTTGGTTGTTGGCCATTGGAAGAATGATACAGCTTGGGAGGCCAACGAAGGCTTTATTTGCAACCTGATCTCCGACTTGGAAGCATGTCGGATCCTGATTGCGCAAGGTCTAACACTTGCTCGACCATCCTAAGTCCGAGAGATGGTCCAATAGCGAGGAGAGCCCCAATGGTGGGTGAAACTTCAGTTAAATGATAGGGAGAGGCCCCAGCTTAATTGATACCAGTATATATGACCCCGATTTGTTGGAAGACAGAGAAAAGTACACAAATGCATGTATGCTCAATATCCAGCGATGCCGGAGTTGCAGATCTGGCGCAGATATTTGTTCGATTTGGATCATGTAGAATGACTTGTCCATTTGTAGTTGCTCACTATGAGGCCATTTTGCGAAGGATTTCGACCATCAGATGATGGCCAGCTTCGTGCAGGAAATCCCTCCTGGCAGTTTTGCGGAGATCAGTTCTCATTGAATTGTCTCGCCTTGCGCATTGGCATAGTGGCCCTGCTCAAAATTTGCATTGTGGCTGCAGCTTGCTCAAGTCCTAGACAAGAAGAGGCAGACAGGAAAAGCACCATGATTGGAGTCAAGGCAAGTCTAGATAGATATTATACACAGGATGTGATTCTGTTGATTCCACGAATTCAGTTCAGGTTCCGCGCTGCCAAAAACATTGGTAAAAACATTGGAATGCGTGTTTTACTAAGTATGTATGGCTTGTGGATGGCCAAGTCCTTTGGCTCATGAGCCAAGTCATCGATGAGGAGATGTTGGGAGTTCCTTCGTCGACGTTCGCGCCCTGCTGTGGAGAAGAATGGTTTCAGAATTCCATGAAGACGCTGAACCTGGCCATCGGCCGCAGCAGATGTGGCCTTCTGCCAGCCGGTTCATACAATTGGAAAATCAAGGATCCATTCGTACACATGTTGGCGACGAGTGTGCAGCTCTTTGCACGGAAGCTCTTCTTGCCGAGGAACACCACCTGGTTTTTACTCAGTACCGTGATTTGGAATGGAGGCCTTGTGAGCAGTTGGTGCCCTTTGGCTTTGCAAATGGCCAAGCTCATGCAGGCAGAGATGCACATCCTTAGTGCATTGCCAGCTTTGTCAGAGGATACTCCAGAATACATTTTGAGAGAAATCCTTTTGGAGTCCATGCGAATTGAGGGGCAGGGATCACACACCGTGGCCATGGATCATCAGCTGCCGGATGGCTCATCCTTGGGAGATGAGTTAATCGCAGAGGCGCGAAGCCGCTTGAGACGTTTCCGCGGCTATGTGCGAAGCCCAGGGTCATGGCAAAGCCCCTCATGGGCTCAAGATGTGGATGTCCAGCTGGCACTGACTTGGAATGTGGGACTTAAAGAAGTTCACATCTCGAATTTTTCCGTGGGCGATTTAACGGACTCGCGTTCCTTCTGGATGGCCACCAGCCCATCCTTGTGGGAACAGGCGCTTCTGGGTATACGTGCCTCCTTCGAGGAAGTTCACAGGCGCTTGCAGGGACGCGTGAATTATGTATTGGCTGGTGGCACCTTACTGGCACTCTTGCGCCATGGCACTGGCGCCAGGACAATTGACCGGGTCGTGGATTTTGTTGACAAGGATATTGATGTACTGGTGGTGGCCAATACAGCGGCAGACTGGTGGGCAACTGTTTCAATCCTTGACGAGACTTTGAGATCTGGTGGTTGGCAAGGCTGTACTTTGACTGTGCGAGACGCAAAGACCATGCAAAGAGAGTTGGAGTTGGACAAGCTGCAACAAGAGATGGGTTTTCCACTTGTCAGCCGAGGGGTGATGGAATTGGTATGTGCCGTTTTTGGGAGTGACTCAGAGACCTTTGAACCTGCAGTTGTTCCCTTCAATGCAGTTTGGGTCAAACCCTTTCGTTTTGCACAGCTGATCCGTGGTCGGCGGATGTATCGTTCATCCTCTCAAGAAGAGGCCAGTTTCCTGATGTCCAGTAGTGCTTGCAGTCATGATGGTGCTTGCTTTGCACTGTCACACTTCCCCTTCCAAGCCTGGCGTGGGACTTTGCCGCTCCAGGAGATTTGGCCTCCGCGTTCCTGCGTGTTCCTGCCAGAGTCGCAGCTGGTGAAGGTGATCATGCTACCCAACGGCCAACAGAACCAACGCTACAGCGTGACAATTACGTTCCCATGTCCCCGAAAAGCCTTGCAGTTGCTGCGCTGGTATGACCGCGGAGAGCTTTGGGGCCGCATCGATCAGCGGCCATGTTTAGCCTTTCCCTTGGTCGTGCATCATGACCGGGTGGAGAACACGCAAACCTCCGCGTTGATGAATCGAGGTTTGTCCCATGTTGCAATCAAGGAGATCCAGTTGCGCATGGCTTTGATGGAGGCCTTGGGAGGAGTGAGTTTATTTGATGAGTCGTTCAATTGCACGCTCTCCAGGAATGGGAGCTATTCAGTGTCGACTTCCAAGTTCAAAGGTTCCACGAATGCTGAAGCAGATTGCGGACCTCTGCTGAATCGAGGGCGCCCAGATTGGAGAAGCCCAAGTTCGTGTCCCCACCGCGTCAGGGAGTACAACGACAATCTGCGCAACACCAGACAAGTTTGGAGCGTTCAGGGATACTTGAAGCACAGATGCAGAACGAAACTCAGAAGTCAAAAGTCCGACCAGACCGTTGGTGGCAGAAGTTGCAAAGGCATGGAATGTCTATGTGTCTATGTGTCTAGTTGCAAATTGTCCTCAATAGCCCTGCAGCATGAACAATGGCAGGACTTGGCAGTTCAAGTCGGACAAGTGGGAAAGCGACTCGGCTGTAAGCAGATGAAAACCGTGATGAAAACATTGCTCAAGGATGCTCAAGGGAAAGAATCGGATCTTGAAACACAGATTGTTCTAAGAAAAGGGACCCGTCTGCCACTGGACGCCCGCATGTCGGCCATAACTCGTCAGCCCACACAGGCATTTGGCGAAGCATCCTACTGCAGAAGCTCCATGCATTCGGCCACAGAGGTCGAGAGCTGAGTGGGCTGAGTGTGCTCTTCATGGCGCTCGTTCATGCTTGTTCTTCGTTTCCCCGCTTTGGTGATTGATGATTGATGCTTTGTCCGAAGAGGGGCATGTGGCAGCACATCATGAATCATGAAGCATGTTTGGCAAATGTAAGGCACATGTGTAACTCGTGTTCACAAAATCGGTTGGCCTGGACATTCTTTACTGTCACAGTTGCTGCTACTTGGAGGCTGCAAGAGTTCGTCACCGAAGCTGATGTCCGAGTCCAACATCTTCAGACTCTTGACAGCTTCAACCCAGTTCAGCTGGCGGCCTTTGTTTCAGACCGAATGCCGGTGGAATTGGTATATAAGTGTATATATAGCTCCCTCCGCTTGTTATGTATTGAGATATTTTGGCAATGTGCCATTTGTTTGTGAGGGTGCTTGATATGTTAACTTTGTTTCTAAGATAATAGTGACATCATATCACGTCATATCGTATCTATATATTAGGTTCCACGTTACTTGACTTCCTTTATTTTAAGGGTAGGACCTTGTGACATCATCATGTCAAAGTCTCCCCGCTCTCAATGCGGCCGATCAATTGCTGTAGTTATGGTGGCGAGGATTCACAGCCCTTGCTGTTGGGGAGGTTGTGCGACTTGTCCAGATCCAATATGTGGATATATGTGGGCATTTCAGCATCAGACAAGGTCACATGTTGCACTCAAGAAGAAGCCGTGTGCAGGGCGGACATTGGTAGTCAGCACATGTCAGCACATTTATATGCTGTTGATCATGCACATTGGTGGGTGAAATGAAGGGTGAACAGTGTGTATCCCATTTGCACGCTTAGAAGACCTGCGATTTGTCATGCTGATTCGCAAGTATATATGGGCTGGCACTTACAATCCCAAGAACTTACAGTAAAGAACGCTGATTATGTGCACGATGAACGGAAGTTGATTATGTGCAAAGCTTGACCCTTTGTCATGCAGTGATGGCCAATGGCATGTGAAGATGTAGCCACTACATGCCTATTGTTGGTGTGTGGCTTACCTGGCTCTGGCAAGAGCTCATTTTGCAAAGAACTAGTGGAGAGAGGCCGAGGAGACTGCGTGGAGGGAACTTCAAAGTGGATACATTTCTGTTATGATGATGTCGAACGCTCGCTGCGAGCAGACCAGACCACCTTCCAGCCAGAGGTTTGGCAGGAAGCAAGGACAAGGATCAGTACTGATGTTGCCTCCTTGCTGGAATCGGACCATGGTCAACGAGTTGTCCTGCTGGATGACAACATGTACTATCGCAGCATGAGTACCTTGACAAATCTGTGCAAGGTTTTGTCTTGCACAAAGTCCAAAGTCAAACCCATAAGTTGTTGCAAGAAAAATGGGACAGTTTTTCGGCAACATTCTTATAGATTCGCTGGGAAAGAGAAAGAAGTCACTATCTAGTTACTAGTCAGTATGCCTCTTCGTTGCTTCTTTGACCGTCCCTGAACAGGAAAGAAGTGGTACCATTTTTGCCGCGAGCAGGGCTGCGCATACCATCAAGTCTTTCTGCAGGCACATGACACATGTCAGGACGAATTTGTCTCAGGAGGTGTAGTGGGCCTTAGGCAAAAAGGCAAAATTAGGCATGCCTGTGCAGATTCTACCCATACAAGAGTGACCTTTTTTACGTGCTTGGTCCACTTGGTATTGGCTTCGAGGGCTCCCAACCACGGTGGGAAATGGGAAGGGTCAAAAAGCGCATCGAGGCACCAAAAGCCGTGTGCTTGGAGCGAAATCGTGGTCGAGAGGCTGCATGCCGTGTCCCAGACTTTTCCATTGAGCATATGGCAGAGGCATTTGAATGGCCAGCGGGTGGCAAAACATGGGAAGCACAGGACCGAACAAAGCGAAACTGCAACAACAGATAAATATAGCAATGTCACCACTCTGGGCTCTCAGTTGCTCTGGGGTTTTCATGTAGCAGACCACAGACCACACACGTAGCTTTGAGGAGGCATGTCCGTGGCACACAGATGTCAACGGTTGCTTCTGAAGGATGGTGTGACCTTTCTGATTGACGCTGAGATCACGTCTCAAAAGCAGGTAGAAGGCTTCCTTTCGACCCCGAAACCTGGCTTCTGGAAGCCGGTGCCGCAGGACCGGGGGTTTTGTTTCAGCATGTGGTAGATACTTATTGGATTTTATTTGCTTTATATTACCATGTTGTTATGTTTCATGGCGTTGTTGGTGGGCCTCCTTAGGAGAAGCTGCAGACACTATCAACCACAGACTCTTTGCATCAGCTTCCATACGTGATCATATGTGGAGAATTGTATTGTATGTGTATATAATATATATGTACATATGTTGGATCGCGGGCCCTTTGTTGATCCTGACTTGGAGGAGAGTGAAGCTGTAGAAGAAGTCCAGAGCGACAGCCATCATTGTGACGTTGCGCTGCGAAAGATCGTCTCGCGGGCACTGGCAGAAGTTCCAAAAGATTCTTTGGCACCAGTTGGCTTAGGAAAATGAACTCGAGACCAGAAATCTGCCACCAGTTCTTGCTGGCAGCTTCTTCGTCGATCAGTTATTCACTGACTGGTGCACATGCTAGATCATGCTAGGCTGTTGGGCAAGTCTTTTGGTGGATGCACAAGCTATCTTTTTTGGTGCATGTGACTTCGGTGAGACCAATTGGTCAACAAATTCAGTGTACATTCATGTGCTCACCAGAAAAGGAAGATGTGAAAGGCCCCTTGGTGTGAAAAGGCCACAAGTGGGCCCCAAGTTGGGTCCCAAACACGACCTTTTTGATGTCCTCATGAAAGGCCGGAGCCCGGGATGTGATCTCGACTGCCCCGTAGGAACTCGGTCAGCTGAAATCCTCCCTGGCCAAGCAATGGGGTGCCCGGAAAGCGGAACTCACAAAGCAAGTGGCCAAGAGCACAGGCGGCGGCGTTTGACCTCATGGTTTTGAAGGTTTTGGTTTGTCATTGAGTCATTGATGGCTTTGTTTCTCAGGTTCCAAGATATTCTAGTGCTTTGAAGGTGGTCTCGGAGGTTCCTTTCAGTTCCCATCCCACATGAGTAGCAAGTTATTTTCTCCAGGTGACACACCTGGCCGCGATCTCATTCACGAAGCGGAGGTGTCCTTCCTTCAGTCCTGTGTTTCTGATCTACAGCAAGCTTTGCTGAAGGCCTAAGTGAATAGTTTGGACATGATTGGACAGTGTGCCAAAGCTTGCAGACTGAAAATAGTCCAGTTGTCGGGAGTTCTTGGACAGGCAAGAAAACGCATGTCGCTGATTGAAGTGGCCAAAGTTAAACCACACTCACCAAGGCCGTGAAAAGGGCAATATAGGGCTAGGGCAACAGTATTTAACCAAAAATACATGTGGGGGACGGTTTCTACAAGATCCTTCAGGCTTTGTAGGGCATCCAATGGGGATGATTCTGATTGAATTGCTGATGATCACCGAAACGGGGACACAGTGATCCCATTTCGAGGTCTGAATCAGCTCACAGGGCTTTTCCGTTCCCATGGTAGGTTAAAAGTGATGTGCTTTTGCTCAGATTGAACTGAGGAAATGTTTGGAAGAGATCGATGAGGCTTGTTGCGGCAAACGGCATCAATCATCCTTTGGGCTAGGTAAGCCTGCTCAATAACAGTCTTATGGACACATGGAAAAGGACAACACTGAATGTTGGTACAGTGCATTGTGAAAAAGGACGAGCAAAGCACCGCCAAATGGATTTGCAAAAGCTTGATCAGAGCTTTCATGGGAACTCATAGCCAGGCCACTGAGAGCTTGCGACAGTGGTTTGCTGAACCACCCAGCAGCTCTTTGCATGATATGCTGAAAGCTTTGGCTGCCTTGAGGTGTGGGGGCCAATAAAGCCCTGTTACTACACATGGCTATGCCATGTCATGTGCCTTCGGACCTCCACTGTCAATGTCACGTTGGTCTAGACTTGCAACATCCTGCCACCACTGCACTCGTTTGGTGCGGTTATTTTTGGTGTAGTGTAGAAGGGAGAATTCGCAACACGTTTTCCAGAAGGGGGTGGGAGTTGAAAGCCATCTCATTCTGTATAATGTAGCTAAGTCGTTGGAATCAGGCAGCTGCTTCCAGCGCCAAAGCCCAGCGTGGAAGACTCAGCTTTGGCCTCCGGGATTCACCTCAAAGGACACATGACACATTTGTCAAATCCCTCCAGATCTGTTGAATCTATTGAAACGTCCTCAAGCTGCCTATATGGCCCATATATGTTGATCCACCATGAACAGATTTATCGTGATTTATCACTGAACCAGTTCTGGGATGTTTTGGGGTTCAGGGACCGACTGTGAGTCCCGGGGTCGGAGAAATTCTTCGCATTCTCGCTGGGTGTGGTCGAAATTCAGGAAACTCTCAGCCCTGCACCAGACTACCGACTCAGCACTACACGGAAGCGAAGGCATGCCTTCGCTGCCCTCATGGCTGAAAGTGCATGCTGTGCTTGGCAGCACCTGGTCGGTTTTCTCCTGGCAGGCTTGAAGAGAAGAAAAAGGCGCGAGAGCAAAGGAAAGCCCAGGAGGATGCGAATACAGCTGTGACGATGGAGATCCCTTCAGAAGGACAAGCTCAGGGAGAACCAGAAGAACCAGAAGTTCCAAAGAACGATGCCTCTCATCGGGAGTGAGATCGATTCGATGACGTTGTTGCCTGCTGGCCACACACAGGTTAAAAAGAAGTGTTTGAGGTCTACGCACAGGTGCTGCTAAGCTGCTAATCCAATGTTTGCATGCAGATCAACCCCGATCAGATCACTGTTTCTTTGCGCTCACAAGGTCTTGACAGCTGAAACACAGCCTCCACTGCATGGGTGTAGGTGTTCTCTCCCGGATGCTGTAGGTCTTTCGCCGGCTGGGCCGTCAAGACCGAGGCTGGGGACCAGGCGAGGGAGATGCCCAAGGGAGAAGCGGAAGACGCGAAGGAGGTGCCTCCCTTACGGGCTTTGCATTAAAGGCTTTGAAAGGGGGGAAGAGTGGAAGCTTTGTTTTGTTTTCTTGCGGTGTGTGTGTGCCAAGTTCTGTGAACATGTCTTTTGAAACCGGCCTTGGAAAAACTCGGCATGAGCTCAAGGCCAGCAGGCTCATAGAATGCGTGCGCCGTCGCAGGCAGCCGAAGGATCCCTACTGCCGATTCCAAATTCAATTCAGCTGCTCAGCGATCTAAAATATGCTGAAATGTTGCTGAATATGAACAAAATCATCCAAAACCGGTCTTGCAATTGTCTCCACTACAGTGCTTGTTGTACTCGTGATTCCACCTGTTCACCACTTCTGTGCGAGGTCCGAAGCTTGCCAGGTGGAACCACCATCAGGTGTTTTGGCGCAGATCCTTTCCTTCAGCAAAGGAACCATTTGGATTTCCTGGCTCTTCGACTGGTCGGACGTGCCCGGCGCCCCGAGACCCTTCCTGCCGTCGCGAGACCCTTCACCGACGCTCGGGAGGACCTGCGACACCGACGGGACGACCCTCGGGACCGAGGCGTCGCGGCTTCGCCAGTGGGGCGGACCACATGTGTGCCTTTGAGGTGGTGCACTTCGGCGAGTCCGAGGAGTTGAGCCTCGGTGAAGCCATGATGGATGTGAGAGAGACGCAGTGTCCTCTAAAGTTGACGTGCGTTTGCATGGTGCCGTTGGTCACTTGGTCATGACGGCAACAGAGTGGGCTCAAAGATTACACAGTGCAGTTTGGTGTCAAGCTTGGACACTTGGACGACCACTGCCCAAAAAAAAGAGTTGTTTGGCTTGCTGTCCAGAGAGATCATAGAAACCTCAGCTTTTCCTTGCTTCCGACAGTCACTAAGCCACTAAGCCTTTGATTCTATGCCTGTGCCATGGCCAGATGCTTCGATCCAGATTCCAAGGCCTGAAAATCGGGCTATTACAATCTATCAGCTACGCACCCTGCGGATATTTTTGGAGCGGTTGTGCAAGAATGGGCAGCTCAGACAGGATGGCCGTATAATTCATTGGTATATTCTCAACATGTACCACATCAGTGATTTGGTCCTTCGACCAGTCATCACACACCTGCATGCCAAGCGCAAGTGTGACGGGCCGCCAAAGCTGTCCTGGGTAGAGTTAGTGGCCACGGAATCACAACCCCCCACAATCCTGATGAGCCATTGCTGGAGTGGCATATTTCGAGACTTCATGGCTGTGGTGGACAAGCTTGTCTTGGACCGAGGTTATCATCACAGGGTGGCCATTTGGGTTTGCACTTTTGCCAACTCCCAGTTTGGTGAGGATTTTGGCCCCAACTTGGAGGCCAGCCCCTATTACTCGGCGATTTCAATGGCTGAAGGCACCGTTCTGGTCGTGGACCGAGATGCGGGCTCCTTGAGCAGGATTTGGTGCAGCTTGGAGGTACATTTTACAGACAAGTTGGACAAGGACTTACAAGTATACACTCCAAGTGGACGCATTGGATCGCAGCTAGTCACATCAGGTCCTCTTGTGGAAGCTCTAGCTGATTGGGATGTGACATGCTGTGAAGCAACGCAGCCCTGCGATCGACGACAAATCCTGAATTACCTGGCAGACCCTGCCAGAGAGAATGATGGATTGGCTAAGGATGCAGAAGGCAGCCTGAAGTTGGAGGATGGTTGGAAAAAGATCATGGAAGATGACACCACCGACCCGTCTTTAAAACGTGCCAATGGATCGCCAGAGTACCAGCACGAGGCACAGCTTTTCAAGACACATGAACAGGTGTTTTCCCGTTTGAATCAAACTGTTCGTAGCAAGGTGCGAGCAGCTGCCTGTTGTTTTGAGCAAAGCAGCACAGCATCATGTAGAATAGGTCCAATCGAAGAGCGTGGAGTACATTTGGGTCAGATTCGTGCGTTCTTCAAAGCTTTGAAGTCTGAGATTCGTCAGCATTCAACTTTGAACTATTCCACCGCAACCACACGAACAGTGGTCGAACAAATTCAGACTTTGCGCAATCGTGGATTTTCATATGCAGAGACTGTGAATGTTGGCCCAGTTTGTCCACAGTATGTGATTGAGCACCAGTGGGACGGACGTATCTCAGATCTTGCTGCAGGAATTGAGTGGTTTGCAGAAGCACGGCAGTTGAGTGACTTTTCGAGGCTTTTTTTCGACTTGCTGGCTCTTCGTCGCCCCTGGAGTCACCTCATTGACAATGAAAGTGAATGGGATGCACCAGACCAGGCAGAAGCAGCGATCCGCTTGAATCGGGACACCGATGGCCGGGCCTTCCTTTGGCCGGGTCATGGGGTCAACATCAACCGAGCATGGTTCATGCATGCTTTCCACGTGGCCCGCAAGACAGCCAAGGTCATTGACTTTGTGAGCGCCACTGGGGCTATGGCTTGCACCGTGCCCTTTCCCGATGGCACATGGGCATTTGGAACCTTCGATCCGAAAATTGCTGAGAAGCTGCTGGAGCTGGATGCCAGAGAGAGCAAGTCCACATACCAGAGGGATGTGGATGAGATTTTGGGGAAGTTGGGCTCCGCCCGGGGGGGCTTCCACCGTTTCCACCATTGCTTGCGCCGTATCGCCGCTGGGCCCGTCATGCGAGCATGCGCTGTGGGTGGGAGCGACGAGGAGATCTCGAAGATCCTACGTATTGGCTCAGGAATTGTCATCAACAGCACTTCCTTGCAAGGAAGCTTGGGACGCATGCCGGCGCATGTCGCAGCTGCTGCTGGTAACGTTGCGGCCCTGGGAGCCCTTCTGAATTTGGGTGCTGATCCCAATGTTGAAGATCACATCCATGAAACACCCTTGCACTATGCTGCTTTCAGTGGACACTTAGATTGCGTCAAGCTGCTTTTGTCCAGGAGTGCTAACACTGCCGCTGAATCTGCCTTTTGCGAGACGCCCCTTGATGTCGCCATGGACAACATTGCGGAGTTCCGTGGTGTTGAGACGAAGAAGATATGCACACTCTTGGAGGTTTGGGAGGCGAAAGATGAACATCCAAAGAAGCGAACAAGAAGGATTGAAGATTGAAATAAGAACGGTCCAATTACTACTGCGTGCGTTGATGGTGATGCAATGTAGAACACCCTTCCAACGCAGCGAACCAAGCAGCGTTTGACAGCCTCTCCTCAGAGGTGCAGAACCGGTGCAGAACCGGTGCTAGTTGGTGATGCGGCCCACGGCTGTGGTGGGATGGCGAACTCGCAGCAATCAGCAGAAGATCCCAAATGTATGCAAAGCCTTGTCCTGGAAATGTTCAATCGGATGAAAAAAGTTTGGTGTGTCATGTCTCCACCTGACTTCAACTTGGGACTTTGTGTTGTTCACAGGGCGTGCGGTACTTCATGGGTTTTTGCACTTGTAGTGCAGAGTCTTGGTCTTATGAATCAACGTATTTTTGCACAAACACCCCAAGACAGTCATAAATGACCACCAACTATATTTATCGTAGTGATAAAAGAAGAGAGAGAAGAAGAAAAGGAAATCTATATGTAATGTAATGATATGTGTATATATATATATATATTGACAAATGTTCCAATGGACAACATCCCAATAGCGGCAAATCCTTAGGGAAAAAGGGTCATGCAGTGATTCACGTACCAGCACTGAAACAAGCCGCATGTTCTTTTGGCATGAGCAGTTGCACTACCCAAGCAACCAAACCAAGACCTACACAGCACCAACACTTGACCGATACACAACTGCATTGATAGCCGTACTTGGCCATTCACCAACAAGCAATTACAATACGTGTATACCGATGTGGCACTCCAGACACCATCTAGACATTATTTGGCACCCAGGCTCCTTGCAGTTTTGTCCAACCAGCTGCGTGTTTTGTCCCACTTGCAATGCTGGTAGCTCAGGAATTCGCGACCGTCCTCCAGGCCCGTGCCTTGCTTTGGAGCCACACGTCGCCACGAATTCGTGACGAGGTGGCGTTGTCCGACTGCGCCTTTGAAGATGGATGTGCCATTGGGATGCTTTGCGCTAAGGAAGGTTCAAGTTACAACCCGTGGTAGTGGGTTGAGAACTCTGGACTGTTGGCACTCACAGGCTTATGGAGTTTTTGCATCTCTTGCTCATGCTCCAAGTGAGTACAGCGACTTTCATGGTCCACAGTAGCCTTCCGTCCTTCAGGTCACTATGTGTTTGGTGTCCGGGCAATTCTTCTCAAGGGAGACCAGCTACATGATTCAGAAATGCTTTGGGCGTCACCGATCTCTTCACCAGTCCTTGACTAAGAGAGGACACTAAGAGAGGTACTGCTAGAATTGGGCCCCCAAAATGAGCATTAGTCTTGCTTCATCTAAGGTGATGCTTGATTTGAGATACTCTACCAGCAGCATTGGCAATGTGAGTACATCTTTGCCCGTGGGCTCTGTGGGATCACGGCTAATAAGCCCACCGATGGAGGAGAAGTCTCCTCAGGGTACGCCCCGCCACTGGCTCAGTGACGTCTCCTCTTGGTGCCAATCGTTATGTCGGAAAGGTCAACTGATACAGACACAACAATTTGATTGATATGTTGGTCCAGGTGAATCTGGGGGTGCTGTGTTCAAAGTCCTTTTGCTGTACAAAGGACGTGGGCGAGTGGCCAGCAGCATGGGAGATTTCATCAGCTCATTGCAGTCAGGAGGCAGCGCCCTGACGGCTGCCGCTGTTGTCCTTGCTTGGCCATTTCAGCCATTTCAGCAAGGGTGTCTAGAGGTACCCGGAGGTACCCCACTGAAAACTGACATAGACCCTGAAAACTACTGGTTTGTAGAGGAACACAGTCTTTGAGGGTGCCATTCTCAGAATCCATGTTAGTTTTCGGGAGTGTACGGATTTTGCTTTGGCATGTGGACTTCAACCGGGCTTGGGCCACAGTGCCGTGTTGACTGCGTTTGTGAGGTTCCCCCACGACAAGACGCTTGTCCTTGCGACCACCTTCGGGACGAAGTGGCACGCCCAAGGAGGAAGATGAGGCTGGCTTTGCCCCCAAAAAATGCACCGAGAGACAGAGAGAGGGAGAAAGAGAGAAAGAGAGAGCAGTGACTGAAAAAAGCTGATGTTGCGATCGATTGATGTTTTGCTTTGTAGCGGCAGCGGAGGCTTCGGGAAAAAGCACCCTGGAGTCGTGTCAGGCCGCTTGGACAATGAGTCAATGCGTGTGGACAAGGATGGACAAGGTGTTTCCGTGCACATGTGGAGGCCAGCCTGGAGAAGGGCAGCTTCGTGGAGATGGAAGTTGAGAAAAGCCAACACCAGGACCAGTCAGAGCTACCCATTTGCTAAAAACAGCGGAGTTCACATGGAAGGCCATGAAATGACACCTCTTCTGTCAAGATCTGTCAAGGAACAATCACTAGGCCAAGTGAACTAGAATAATATGAGACGTGGCTGACAAGAATCTGGGTAAAAAGATTTCCACTTCATCAACGGACAAAGAGAGATATGATAAGGATATTTCCACCCTTAAGAACTACATGTATCATAAGGATATGATTGACATTGATTGACATGCATAGTTAGATAATTATATATATAGTTATATATTGTATTATATATGTACAATTGTATTTGTTTATTTAGTTAACGCGCTTGAAAACGACGATGCAAATGGTGCTGACAATACTGTCACTATTTGCAATCCAACGCCGCGAGCACAGGAGTTGACATTGCCGGTGGGAAGAGGGGCAGATGCAGATGCTTGACTCGATAGTTAGTTGCTTTTCTTGCTTGGCATTGAATTGGATGATTTCTGAAGGTTTGCCAAGTTTGCTTCTTTGGCTTCAGGAAAGGTGTTTGTGCAATCTCTTGTTCTGCAAGCATGGTTTTTGTTAGGGGAACTAAGAGGCCTCAACCTAAAGGTGTTGCTTACAATCGAGCTCCGAGCTATGAGGTATTTGTTCCTTGAATCTTGGGCCTTAAGGTTGATGAGAGCCAGAGCCCATCATCGGTACCCATCCCATCCAAGCAGAGTGATGAGTCATGCAGCGCAGAGACTCCATTGTCAGTCTCTTGGCCCACCAAAAGAGCCATGAAGTTTTTGTCCGAAGCGCGGGTGCTTCGAGCATACAGGACTTCCCTGGGACCCCGAAGCTTCCAGGACTTCCCGAGACTTCTTGGTTTCTCCGGGCATGTCATGCATGTGAGAGCTAGAACTTCAAGGTGTTTTTTTCCGCCAGCAAAGAATGGATTCCATGGATAATCCTGTCTTAGAGAGTGCCAGATGAACACACATAATGTTGAACAAGCCCATTTGCCCATTCACAGTGAAGATTGGATGACTTGTATGATTTGTGATGCAACTGAATGCCACACCGCGAAGTATCACCAGCATCCTTGCTGGCAAGAGTTTTAGAGCATTGCATCCTGCAGAAAGGTAGAGAAGAGATCAGATGATGTAGAAAAATACGTCAAGCGAAAAGGAACAAGCACTAAAGATTCTTGTAGAAGTGCTGAAGTGCTGGTTTTTGAGTTTTGCAAACGGTCGGAAGCTGTTGAGTTCCCGCCCTCCAACGATCGCCGAGGTTGGGGACTTGGACGAGTTTGATGACGAGTCGTTGCTGCGCCTGGTCCAAGCGTTCACGTACTTGGAAACTCGAAGGTCCAGGTGAGGAAAAAGCTGTTTCTGGATTCTACGGCATGAATATATATATATATATATTATATATATATGCAGTAATTATTTAGAAGAAACACATATACCACGCATGTTGAATACTCTTAATATGGCTTTCTTGTGGTTGGATGTTCACTCAAGAGGGTGGTTAAGCCGCATGGAGAGAAGCGAAAAAAGGGTTATACAGGCCTCTTAGAGCAGCACCAGCACGCGGGCAGGACCACAGAAGCCGGGGTGTGCGGCACACCCTCTTCGTCAGATGCCAAGGATGCCCCTGAACCGCCAAAGGCGCAGGAGGTGGACGTGGCAAAGACTCTGCCAGCCAAAGAGCCAGCAGCGGAGGTCAAACCGAGCCAGGCTCACAAAGCCGCCTTCCGAGTACCAAGGGCAACCTGGCCAAGCTTGAGGTTCAAACGAAACGGACCATGACGTATCATTGAGTCGAGAGTTGTACAGCCTGGTTGAACAGTTGAATCATGTTGACAATGAGTAAGCAGGGAGCCCGGCTAGAATGATGACGGTTGCAGTTCCGTTTAACTCTTGTAAAACTACATTGATCTATATAATTCTATATATATAGGTTATAAATGTATATATGTGTGTGTTTCTCGCTGTTGGCAGAGAGGCATTTGTTTGATGGAAGTGTCGAAGAGAAAGTTCCGAGTTGCCAGAAGTTACGCATCCACAAAGCATCACATCATATCACATCAACGGACGAAGCACGTCAACTGATCCTTCCGAATTGACGTGTTTCAAGAAATCAAACCAGCACCAACAATGTCTACTGCATCACAAAACCATCCTCAAGCAATCCATCTTCACCAGAAAGGACACACAACCTCTATAGTCTTGCAAAATCTTGCAAATCTCCACCTGCCGGCTCTGCCAGAGGATGACCTGGTATGGTAGTCATGCTTGTGGGAGTACACACGCGTGTACTGATGATCTTTGATGTGTCTCTACATTTAATCCAGCTCATGCGCCGTTTTAATGCCACATATCAACTTATGGTTTACCAGCTCCTGGCATGTTTTGGTCTACTTCCAGCATCTTCTGGCCATGAAGATCCAAGGCAACTTCAGTTTTCGATGACCTGGGTACCCTGGAAAGTGCTTTGATGCAAAGCAATGTTTTTGTTTCTTTTCTTGTTTGACTCCTGCCATCTCCTGCCCCCTACATTACTTCGAAGATAGAGCGAAAAACTGTTCAGCAAATCGAGGAGTTTGTTGAGATTTTGATGAGTATGCTTTGTTTGCTCCAGAAGCTTGTTAGAGTGGCATCGGTTGTTTTTAAGGGTGGGTGTTGCAAGTCGTTGACAGGCATGGCAGATGTACTGAGCAACGTGGAGGCAGTGAATCGCGATACCAATCTGGAATCACCTTCATCAGGCACAGCGGTTGACTGCGACATCTACAGCTTGTACAGCTCATGCCCTACATGTTTGTGCTAGACCTTCAAGATCCTTCAAGCGATTCAAGCAGGTGTTTGCGATTGCATGTCAGTGTAAGAGGGATAGGAGAGTGCGGGCCTTTGTAATCCCTACAGATCCCTAGAGCAATGAGTGAGCGCCTTCCACCCCAACGGGAGCCTTGGATGATGTTCATTCCATGGCAGATGAAACGCCGTCATGCCAAAGCCATTTCTTTGCAGAGAGTGCTCACATGTGCTCACGGTCAGAAAGAGGCATGAAGAATGAGCAATGAAGGATAATGACGCGTGCAAGAAGATCATGCCATAATCACATATATAATATATAGTCCAATCCCTTTGACGCTGGTGTTCTGCAAGTTTGTTCCAAAGGTCATCACAGTTTTGTAGGCATATAAAGTGTGGTCAGAATATGGTAATGGTGAACACGTGAAGAAATGTAAGCAGATATATAACTGTAAATATAGCTCGGCAAAACAGCCGATGCCTCAAACAAAAGGCAAGACACAGACAATGTCAAAGAGAAAGTAATCAGGAACTCCAAGAAACGATTTTGCCAAAGGAACCTCAGGAACCTCATTTCTACTGCAAAATCCATGCATCGCTTCCAGCATTCGGCTATTCTGTGCCGTCACTTGGAGTCACAACGGGTCAAGGAGAAGTGGCCCACGGGGCGTGGGGATGTGCATGGCATTGTGGAGGCCAATGACTCCATGATGCTCAAGGGCAGCATTTCTGTTGATGGAAAGACATGGCAGCTGCCTGAAGTCTTGGCAGAAGCTATTGAAGTTCCACCAAGGCCAGACTTAGAACATAGTGCTCCCCTCTTTGATGTGACGGACGTTTGTTGTGCAAACATCGACACCTTATCAGCTGCTTTGGTTCTGGGAGATGCCTGCGCACTCAACTTTGCCAATGGAGACATTCCAGGAGGGAGGTATCGAAGCGGCGGTCTCGCACAGGAAGAGGATCTTTGCCGCTTGTTGCCACAGCTTTATCCATCACTGAAGTCCAGCCAGTATCCCATCCCACCGGGAGTTGCGTTGCTTACGCGGGGCCTTGAGTGTGTGCGACGTCCTGGGAGTTATGTGACCTGCCCTGCGTTAGGCACGGTGACCATTATCTCAGCTGCTATGCCAATCGGCCCTGATCGTCGACCTAAGGGTGGCTGGGCCTCTTCTGACTGGGCTGAATCTGTCACTTTACGCATCCGTTCGGTCCTGCATGCGGCCAAGCACTCGGGCCATGCCAATCTGATTCTGGGTGCCTTTGGTTGCGGTGCATTCGGAAATCCCACCCGTCCGGTGGCCGCCCTCTTCCGGGAGCAGCTCATGTCGAGGGAGTTCCGCGGAACCTTTGCCAAGGTGGTCTTTGCCATCATCGACCCGGTGGGCACGGGGAATTTAAAGCCGTTCCGCGAGGAGATCGCGCAGATTCGCCAAGACCAGGTTTCGCTGGGAACCGTATGTGAGCATGTGGTGGAGCTGGAGGAAGGAAAAGGTTCTTTTGAATTCGCTGAGCGCCAGAAATATCAAGAGTCATTCTAGTACCTTACAATCGTCATAGCCAGCACGGATAGCTCAGATATGGTACGTTGGCGTGTTTTGCCATTCAAGTTCGAATCAACCTGCTCTCCATTGCATTCCCCCCCTTCTATGCCACAAGCATCCACAAGCTAACGACGGCCCTCCCAAGCTTTTTCACCGTCAGGCTGCCAACTAGAAGCTCAGGGCACCTCAGAAATTCTGGATGGTGCAGAGGTCGGGATGATGCGCACCAATTCCACGGCCCTGTATTCCCTGTGTACGGCTGATGCTTTGGAGGAAAGTTCCCCGAAACTGTGTTCGGTTTGTTTTCCGCTGAAAGCTGGTCATGACACGGGCGATTGTGGACTGGCACGGACGAAACACGCTGGATGACAAGGACATGGGACAAACAAGGACCAACTATAATATGATAGTGGGTGGTGCTGGTGCTTAGCTGCCAACCTTGAAACTTGAGGTCCTCGCTGAGATTGAGAGGAAATTTGTCCAGCAACGGAAGACTTGTGAAGCCTGCAACGGCACGGGTGGTTGCCCCAGATTTATACGATTGGCACGGGTACACAAGTGTTCAACAGGCAGATGATACCTTCAATGCAGCTCCAAGAAGGAATATTCTTTGTACCAACTAGCAGACAGGTATGGGCTTTACAGTGCTTTTTGCGGACTGACCATGGACCATGGCTAGTTCCCAATCATTGCCATGCTGATCCGGTAAGACCATCAAACGATCAAACGCGTTTTTTTCCATATGTGTGTGACGTTCATCAGATACTCCGGGACGGATTTTGCGGTCGAACAAATGTCAAGTATGATCCTTCGCCCAAGGCTATGTAGGCCTATTTGGCGCTACTGGTGACTCGCCCAGCAACATTATGTATGTATAGAATCAGCATTCAGTTCCTCACTGTTCACACCTCCAGCCACAGCCGAGGCTTTGGATTTTTCCAAACAAAATGCAGCAGCTGCAGCAAGTGACGTAAAAAAGGAATCGACTCCAGAGTTATTGGCAGTGGCTGCAGGATTCATTGTATGGCAAGAACGATTAACCAGGCTCAGACATGCTTGCTGGTGCTGATGTCCAGGTCTGTCGTGGTTTGCCAGTGGATGCATTGCAGGCGGCAACACGCGCAGTGGAGGCAACGCCTTCGATCCGTAGATCTTCGGTTTCCATATTTTGGAGACTGCATGTCGATGCCAAAATTCCACTGGATGCCGCCTTTTTTCGAGAGCATCCGATGAGAGCAACGATTCAGAGAATTGATGCAAGCATTAGACTGCTTTTGTGTTGCAAGCGCGTGAATGTGCAGTGGTCAATGAACAAATTCTATTGGATGCGACAACCAGGCATGTTCCGTTTCAAACATGGTGATATAAAACATGATAAAACATTTCTATACATTGTTGATCATTGTTGCAATAATCGAGAACATCGGGAAACACATGAGCGACGGACAAAATTATTGGCTGACTTATTCAGTCACGGCATGACCCTAAACCTATGTTGAGGGCTTTGTTTCTGTGGAAAACGATATGGTCCCCACCAAAAACGATAATCTTGTTAAGATGTAGTGGGTACAAAGATGTTTGTGGTTACCAGATGCGATTGCATTTGCAAGTTTATTTGAGCATATTTGAGCTAAACCGATGGGCACCTCTTTTCATCAATGGTAATCCCAGACAACTTCCCAAACGATAATCCAAACGATAAGCGAACGATAACCTAAATGTCACGCCAGGCACTCCGTAGACCTACTTCTCCACATTACTAGTGTTGGTCCGAGCTACTAGGTCCCCGCTTATCTTGTGATCCTTGCACAGCTCGGTGCCACAAGAACCCGAGTGCATAAATCAAGTGCTGTGCCATTCCTGTGCAGAAAGCACTGTAAGCCTCTAATCTGAGGTTGTGAGTCATATTTTGTGTTTTAGCCTATGTGCTGGTATGCTATGCTAACTACGGTTTGGAGAAACATTGGAGAACGATATGGACCCCACCAAAAACGATAATCATGTCAAATGGTATTGCGCTACACAAGTAATTTTGTCCGCTGCTCACATGACTGAACAATAATGCTTAAGAGGATGTTCCCGGTGTGGCAAGGCGTTCAGAGAAGGTGGAGATTTGGCTGGTCTGGCCTCCGCCCTTCGAACGTTGGGCTGCCCAGTTGCGAGGTCACACGACTACTGTTTTGAAAAAATAACTTGTTTGGCTAGAAAATTTCATGTTTTGTTCATACTATATCCCTCAGAAAACTGCATATATGCATGTATACTTGCATGTATATATATATATTATATGACTATATTATAGAAACTGCACTGGTATGAAACTGCATATAATAAGCCGCATATTGTAGATACATTGTATTATACAGATGGTTTACCGAGGCTCGCTTCAGCTCACTTGCAGAAGAGGCTTCCGTCACAATGCTGGATGTCATGGCACATGCACGTTGCCATCCAATGCATGTTTGTATCACTTGGGAGGTCGTCACATCAAGCTGCTTCTGTGCAAGCCTCAAGGATTGCTCAAAGCACTCGAAGAAATTGAATGCACCAATTCAACCTCTAGCATTGGGCAGTTGCAATGCTTCGAGCTCTTGACTTGGCCCAACCAGACCCAATCAAATTTATATAGTTCAAGTGATGCACCGCCAAGGCGGCTGAGGAGTCCAGGACTCAGTCATAGGAGTTCCCGTTTTTGTCAGGTTCATGTTCATGTTGGATATTATTGCAGACTTCCCTCCTGGGGCCCTTGGTTCGACTGTACATGGGCATGGGTCAAAAGCCCAAACCATCGCAGACTGACCTCCCTGGTAGTCCAGTGTCAGTTCAATATGAGGATCAAGCAGGATTCTTTGGGCGTAGACTCACAGCAGGATCTTTTGGCGTTCATCACGTTTTTTTATGTTTCTTCTCGAAGCTGAGGTCCTCCAGCATATTCCGTGAGCTTGGAGACCGTGCGGCCGAGGCAAAGGAGAGAGTAGTGATAAGGTGTGTTCGCATTCGTCTTTAGAGCGGGTGTATACAAATAAGTATACATAGAACAGTCTCAGATTTGAGATGCCAAGACCAAGGGGTGATGCCAAGACCGTGACGCACGGGTGAACCGCTTCACATCCAAATGGTCGTCCAATGGCGTCCAAACGGGCACTCGTCAGTAAGGTGGGAGGAAGGTTGTGTTTCCACTTTCTCTTCACGTTTGAACTCGGTGGAGTGAGGGTAGTATTTCCAGAAGCCCTGGACGCCCTAGACACCCTAGACTCCACTCCAAGCGGTGATGCAAGAGTTTGCCAACGGCCTATGCGACTTCTGTAGCAGGTGTATAAATATGACGACCTTGGCACCTTTGAAAGTCACATTGTCAAGGGTCTGAAGTGGTACCACTTATTATTGCATTTGTTCTGGAAGAGCTTATCAGGTCGAGTCATTGCTGCAACTTGCGGTTGCGCACTTGGAGGCTAGAATTGGATTTTGTGGACTTGTCACAGCCTGTCCTTGTGCTTCTCCCAAGTTCCAACATTACAATGTATTTTGAGGAAGGCTGGTGGATAGGACACTTCTGCATGCATACATGCGTGCCCAAGAACAAAATCGTTCACAGCGACGGTTGCCACTTGTTGAGGCGGGTTCTCAGCAAGATGCTTCAGCCGCTGCCAAGCGCGCGTCACGACCTCGGAAACCTCACACCGTCCAAGCAGGCGCTGCAAGCCTTTGGACACGGAGCCATTGACCAGAGTCGCAGGAGATGTGCCATTTACCTGACCTAGGCAAGAGCTATGCAAAACCATTAGCGATTCCCGAGGGCACAATATATCGCTTAGCCCTCAGTATATAAATGTTTGCCAAGAAGACTGAAATATTCACAACATGAAACAGCCCAACCATTTGCTCCTATGTGCATGCCTTCCTGCTGGATGGTTGCTTTCTTGCTTACGAAACTGGAAGTTTGTTCCGTAGGTGTTATCTCCTGTCTTTCGCCACATGAGAGTTCTTTGAGCACAGATGGGTTGTACTTTGTATACTTTGTATACGACAGCTAGTCAAAGTAGAATCGTAGAATGAGGCGGGAGCTCCTGCAAGTAGCACGGACGCCTGGTGCAGCATGGACTCCTTGTGTGTGTTTCATGCCTATGACGAAAGTAGCAACAGCAGTAGCGCAGCAGTAGCGGTCATTAGTCATTGTTTCGCCAGTTATTGTTTTTCGGGTTCCATTGAGGGTTCGATAAGCGACGTTTGGAAAGCTAGTCCTCCAAACCTACGCTTGAGCACAATGCTTGTGACTGCACAGACCGAACACTTTGACAAAGAGTTTCGAAGCGGCTTGTGGGTCTTGGGCTAAGAATTTGACAACGGTTCGGAGAGATGCACTGCAACTAGGCGAAAGAAAAATGCGCAAGCGTGCGATTGAAATTGGAAATGGTTGTCCTGCTGGGCCTTAGGTGCCTGGAAAGGGGATGGCTGCTAAGATTGCGAGTGGCATAGGAGGAGCGTTCAACTCGCGCCCGCACACCCATGCCAAAGACCCCTGCACGACTAAAGTGCTACGGTTACGCCATTAAAATATGTGGAGGGCGGCCCAGGGTTAATCCTCCCAAAATTGTGTATAATTCCTATTCTGTCCGTATGTTTGGGGCGACGGGCGGCTCCGCATATTTAAATGTGCAGTTCCTTCATCATTCACAACAATAAAAACACAGCAGTTTTTATCAAAGCGCCAAAGCTTCCATCCCACACCCCTCCACAAAGCGCCCAAAAAAAGCCCACTAGGTCACTAGGAAAAAAAGAAACAGCAGCGCCAAAGCCCCCACATAGCCCCACATGGTGGTAACCATTCATGTAGCCACACCCTTCCACTAAGCCCGCCACATCCACATAACCCCACCAGGCTTTTCACGCAGTCACCAAACCTTGCGCCCGCCAAAAAATAGACCGAAGCCAAAGCCTGTATACGTGGCCTCCGCATAAGGCAATTAAGGCCTCCACGGAAGCTCCAATCCCCACAACCTCTTCTCCACGCAGACAAATTGAGGCCTTCTTCTAGCCCGCCCAAATTCTCCATATAGCTCAACTAAGGCCCGCACGCCCAAACCAAACCCTCCATGTAAGGCCCTCCCACCCAAGCCCTTTGCATCACCATTCAGCCAAGGCGTCCAAATAAGCCTCAAGGGACAAACTATAAGGCTTACACATAGACTAACTGAGCTCATGAAACCCTCCATGTAAGGCCCTCCCGCCAAAGGCCTCCCGTAAGGCCAGGCCCCCACGTAAGGCTAGCCAAGGCCTCCACATAAGGCTGGCATAAGGCCAGCCAGCCGTAAGACCAGTCAGGGCCTCCCCGTAAGGCCAGTCAAGGCCTCCACATAAGGCCAGTCATGCCTCCACGTAAGGCCAGCCAAGGCCTCCACGTAAGGCCTTGGTTGGCTTCCACGTAAGGCCGGCCAATAAGGCCAATCAAGTCCCCTAAGGCCAGCCAAGGCCTGCACGTAAGGCCAATCAAGGCCTCCACGAAGGCCAGCCAAGCCAAGCCTCTTTCCCTAGACCCACACGTGGACCCCCTAGGTGGACTCTCTGAATTTCCTTACGCGGACCTACCCGTCCCTCGACGCGTGGACTCTCTTACGTGGGCCCTACCTAGCTGGACCCTCCACACTGCTTATGGGCCCTCCTTACGTGGAGCCTCCTTTCCAATTCGTTTTCCAATGTGGACCCACCTACGTGGACCCTATACGCGCCCCATCCTACGTGGAGCCCTTACGTGGACCCTCTTACGTGGACTTAGCTAGGTGGACCCCCTTACAACAACACACCCTGCTTGCGTTCCTTATATTCTTAGCTGGACCCCCCATACGTGGACCCCCTTACATGGACCCTTTCACGTGGACCCTACCTAGGTGGACTCCTTTCCTGGACGTCCCTGTACACTGCGTGGACCCTCCATACTCGTACGTGGACCCCCTTACGTGGAATCTCTTACC